GTTTAACAGCATAAATAAATAAATAAATAAATATATAGAACTAACGAAAGCCTGGGTGAACATAAACATAGGAACGAAGTAAGAATTATTAGGTGCAAAAGGGAGAAAAAGAAAAAGAAACTAGCCACATTCGCACATAATTGATCGTCAAGGTGAAAAGACAATAAAATCTAAAATATGAAGAGAAGCCGACATGCAATCAACAAAGAAAAGCATGATAAACACCATATGACCACCTACATGCTAAATGAGTTGAAGGAAGAAAATGATGTAACATAATTTAAGAAAATTGGGAACTGAAACCATTGGATGAAAACTGAACTCACGGGTCATTGCCGAACTCTAAACTGAGCAACGCATACACAGAAGCGATTTGAGAGTTGGCGTCTTCCAAGTCAAGCATCCCAACCAGAGGAGGAATGACTCCAAGCATTGCGAGAGTCCCTCTGACTTTCAAGTTTTCCTTGGCGAGCAGTCTAACATTTGATCCCGCCACTTGCCGCTTCCTCAAGTCCTTTACTTGCAACTCTTGCACTCCTCCGATGCCTATTCCTTCTTTTTCGTTTCGACCCGATTCTGGGAGTCTCCCATATGCAGAAGATCCGATAGTTTTTTGGACTTCTCATTGGAGTTACGCTTGGAGTTGGATGGTCCCTGCATCTGTTCTCAGAGCTTCTCCTTCGGGTTCCCAGAGGTTGATATCGTGGTTGAGGCAGTGGAGCTGAATTCGTCGCAATGGGAGTGCCGATAACGGGAGCTGTCGCCGCAGCTCACGGCATCAAAAATGATGCGGCGAAATGAGGAGGCCGAGAGCGCATTCCATAGGCAGAAGTGGCCGCCGATGGCTGCATTCGTAGTAGGATCGTGGCGATCAATAATCAATGGTCTGACGTTGTTCCGGTGACACTTTGCCATTCTCTAGTAGCCTACACTGGGGGGAGAGTGGGGAGAGAGAAGAGTGCTCGAACGGGGCAGTTGAGACAAAGTTATAGGAAGTCTGGTCAATGATAACAGTTCACTGTTCTTGCTATTTGTACCGAGTTTTCCGCATAAGCCCGATTCCATTTGTTTTCCTCCTTATAAATTAGGATTTAAACTGTCTTCGGCCTCTGGATTGAAACGGTCATTTCACAAGATTTTTTATTGATATTCCCAATTCCATCCATTCATAATGTAAAATTGATAGGCAATTAGTATTATAGTTCATCCATCGCCAATATAATTAAGTATAAGACATGATTTATTATATTGCCCTTGCAAAATAAGAAAATCACCTGTAGACGAACTCTTTGCTTCTTCTTTTTTTCCTTCCCTGCTTCTTGAATTTATTCAATATACACGCTGTTTGAACGTGGATATGACTAGATCTATACATTGATTGCAACGTAAAATCACCTTCTTCTTTTTTAACGGTCATACTAATTTCTAAACATTTTAACAAACAACCCTTTTCGTAAAATGGAGGTGGCACATCTACGTTAAGAAAGAGAGGGAAGATCAAAAAGTGAGAAGAAGAAGATGGTGGAGGGGAAAGTGCCTCGGGATTCAGGAAGATTTGGAGGTGGATGGAGGTCACTGTACCGTACTGAATGTTTTGCATAAAAGGAAACGATTAACGCCGTGGCTACCAAGAGACAGCTCATGCAGTGTAAATAAGGGAAGCTTCTCGCACGCCGGTATTGTTTTTATTATTCTGGGTCCCCGAATCCCCTGTGGTTTTTCAGCTCATTTTTGTTTTGACTTTGAAGATGTACGAGGACCGACGATGTCAAGGTACAGGTGGCGGTACACTGTGGATATGGCTCAGCATAGCAATATATTAATCTCAGTTTTAATTTGCACCCGAGCCGAATCAAATGTAAGTCTTAATAACATAGTCATTCAATAAATTATGGCTTACTAAAAATCACTCCGTCAGCTTCTTTAGTGTATGTGTAGTGAAAGATATCAGAGTCTTATAATCCAATAGCATCAAATGTCTTTCTGATTTTTTTTAAAAATAAATGTGAAGATGTGATTTTTAAACTTTTTGGTAAAGAGTATATGGACAAAAAACTGCTAGTAAAATGAAAAGGAAATGTGGGTACCTCTTCAAGTGGAGATTCGAATCTTAGTTCGTCAGGTTATAAGGAACTAATCCCTTCCGTTAGACCCAACTCCTATTGGTAAATGAAAAGGAAATGTATGTATATGCAAATTTCTCCACTGGCTGGCACCAAAAAAAAAAACTCCATTGGCACCGGTAGCTGTGGCGCCCCATAAAGACCGATTGATCCTTTTGAGGGAGCCATCGGCCCATTGGGCTCAAATGAAAATATAGGCCCAACTAGATACATTGGTCAATGGCAAGTGGAAACTGAAATGGAATTTGAAGCAGTGTTCATTGTGACCTTGCGGGGTTATTTTCCAATTAAAGGACGGATTGTTTATCCTGTCGCCATTCCCATCTCTTTTTCCGATGTAAGGATATACTCCTCCGATCTTTAATATAAGACCCATTTAACTAATTTCATTAGATTAAGGAAGTTAGGTAAATTAGTTAATTATAAGAAATGTGACACATTTTTTTTAAAATACCATAATCATCTTTCTTAATACCTCATTTCCCTCTTTTACTTGATTATGGTTGAAGGAGTGTCTATAGGGGTAATGTAGAGAAAATTGATAAATATGAGAAATGGGTCTTGTATTTAGGACCAAAACCAATTCAATAATTGAGTTCTATATTAAGGACCGGAGGAGTATTATTTTAAGATATAAGTGGCTTTAGCCTTTTAGGATCTTGATGGTGTTTCAAAGTATTTTGAGATCTTACATATTGTGATTAAATTAATCTTTTAAATTCAATTGTCATTTCCTTATATCAATTGCTTATTCCCCACCCCCAAAAAAATTTATCTCCATTTCATCCCCCCCCCCTCTGTTTACTGGCTACAAATTTTTAAACATGCTAGTTGTATCTTTAATTTTAAAGTCACATGCCCTTGTTCGATTTCTTGTTGACCTGACTCTGTTGGTAAGCTGTTGGGTTCATTGCATGTAGGGTCATTGGCCCTTAATAGTGAAAGCACTTCTTTTTTTGTCTGAAAGAGTGCAGCGTCTTGCATCCTACAGATTCATTAAAAAACTTTTAAAACCCATCCAGAGAGATTAAGACCCTCCCAACCCCTCACTATTAAGCGGTGCACAGCCACAACAGTGGGCTGTGCTGCGAGTGTGCATAAAATCACGTTTCATTATCCATGACGAAGGAATAATAAGTATATTAAAAAAAAAGCTATATGTATTACATAAATTGTAAAGCTCACCTCGGTGTTTTGTAGCACAACTTTTGATCTCGAATCCTATGTAGAGTCTGTTTAGAATAATTTATAAATAATTTTTTAATAATAATTTACAGAATACGAGATAAATATATTAAAAGAGTTTTGTTTTGATTTATGTAAAACGTGTTTATAAAAAAAATCTTAAACCCTCCCAAATAAACGTGGAGGTAAAGTTCAAGTTCATTCCATTTATTTTTCTAAAGTAAAGTATGCATTTATGATTAAAAAGACGTGCCAGTTCGCCCTTTATGCGATTCTTTAGCTACAGTGTGTCAGAAATTTGAAGGACAAAAGCGAACGAAGTCCAGACGAAAACCTTTAAAGTTATTCTATTTGGTTATTTGATGTGCAGCGTATTTCGCCACATCTGTTGAAATATTCCAATTCACGGCCGCATTCAATTATTTGCTCTCGCCGGCCACAAACGGCGTCCAAGGATTCAAATCCTATTATTTTATCACCACCAAGACGTGCGAGCCACTTGCGACACGATCTCTCGTATTCTCCTGCGCTTCTCTGAGGGATTTTTTTTTTTTTTCCGTGAGGAATCTCTACAATAGTATTTAATTTGCTTTACGTGATTTTATCATCAGGAAATGGTTATTAAACAATAAAAAAGGCTAGCAGAAGAATATCAGAGGCAGAGGAAATTGAAAAGACTTAATTCAAAATAAATGCAGAATGAGAACTAAAGATGGGTAATCAATCACTGCCATTCATTTACACTTTGGCTTGGTTGCTTATAACCGGACAAAATGATGACCAAATACGTCCCACAAATCCAAAGGATAATGCAGTGATGGGAAATTATTTGAATTGGAATTTACGTTCCGCAGTGGAGCCTGCCATTTTGGACCATCCGTATGAATATTGAGTATGATGGGGACGGAAGTGATTGCCCTTTTCCCCCCAAACTTTATATTTTATACCCAACACCATTATTGCCCTCACGTTCCTTTCAATTGATGCCGGACTTGGTCCTTGATTAAGACTCATTTAAATACACATTATCAGTATCTTCTAAGTTTTTTTTTTTTTAAGTAAGAAAAAGAACATGGCTTCACTTTTTTCATTCAAAATATAATTAATACGATTATTAATTAATAAATATTATACAAGATGGGATAATTATTTTTACCATAATGTTGAATTCTTACATTTAAAATATGCTTAAAATAGGAATTTTATGTCATTAAATCATAAGTTCCTGACAAATTGGCGTGATGCTAAATTTCAGGATTTTATATCATTTAGTTATGCTGACATTTTTCTTTGCTGTGTTAGGAAGATTTGAGTCCTAAACTTTTATTCAACCTCATCGCACTTTTGAATTTCGATACTCAGTCTAGACTCAAGTGCTCTATTTATGCTTATTTATACTAACTCTTAATTAGTCTGGCCATAAAAAACCTTAATTCCTAAAAACGGAGAACTAGCACACGCCATTTTTTTTTCAAGATTTTTTTTGGGTTTGCAATTATTGATTCCGGCTTAAACTTTTTCCTTTGATTGAAGATTTATAGGAATGTTTGGATGGAATCAATAATTTTAAAAATATTTTTACAATATACAAAATAAATATGTGAAGAAATTTATTTCGTTTTAAAAAAAATACTTCTTATTTTTTTGTGGTTCCAAAACACTCCCTTGATCTTGAAATTGATATTCTAAAATCAAACTTTAAGGGGAGTGGCATGGTCAGAACTGAGAAGCGAACGACTGGTATTATGTTGTCGCAGCCCAACTAGCAAACGACTTCATAACTACCATCGTGGCGAGCCCTTTTCAGTCGGTGAGCCGCCCTTGCCCTTGTAGTCGGTAATCCAGGACACCCCGCCCGCGCCTTTTTCTTTCTCTCCTGTCTGTGGTCAATTCTTGGATTTTTTCTTCGCGAAGCAAAATTTTCGATTCTAAGTGTGAGATCTGCGAAATTCAAGCCTTTCTTTCTTCAGTTCAAGGTCTGATTTCTCACTCCTCACTTTCTCTAGCGTTAGGGTTCTTACTAAAATTATACTTCTTTTCGAAATCTTTACTCCTCGTTCATTAGTGGATTTATTGTGCTGCGCTCTGTGCAGATCTAGCCGGATCTTGAAGATTACTCTGTGATTCGAGGCTTTATTCCCCCAAATCTGCTTTAGGTCCCTAGGTTCTGTATTCTTGAAGATTTCTTGTTGTCTGTGACGGAGATCGGTTTGAAATCTATTTTAGATTTGAACGCTTAAGCGTCTTTTTGCAGATCTGGGGTTGATTGCATTTTCCGCCTTGGTGTTTGGATTTGTTTGTCGGAAATGTCAATACTACAGAAAGGCGATTCGGTTCAAATCAGGGAGGTTTGGAAGGACAATCTTGATGAAGAGTTTGCGTTGATCCGTGAAATTGTTGACGAATATAATTACATCGCCATGGACACGGAGTTCCCCGGTGTGGTTCTTCGCCCGTTGGGTAATTTTAAAAACATCAATGAATATAACTATCAAACACTGAAGGACAACGTTGATATGTTGAAGTTGATCCAACTGGGGCTCACCTTCTCCGATGAGCACGGAAATCTTCCTACTTGCGGCACTGACAAATGTTGCATTTGGCAATTTAACTTTCGCGAGTTTAACGTTAGCGAAGACATCTTTGCGAGTGATTCAATTGAACTACTGCGCCAATGTGGAATTGATTTTAAGAAGAACAATGAGAAGGGCATTGACGTGAACCGATTTGGGGAGCTTCTGATGTCTTCAGGGGTGGTGTTGAACGATCAAGTCCGTTGGGTCACATTTCACAGCGGGTACGATTTTGGTTACCTCCTTAAGTTATTGACCTGCCGCAGCTTGCCTGATACACAATCGGGATTCTTTACTTTGATCAACACGTACTTCCCTACGTTGTATGATATTAAGCATCTGATGAAGTTCTGCAACAACCTCCACGGAGGATTGAACAAACTCGCAGAATTGTTGGAAGTGGAGAGGATTGGTGCTTGCCATCAAGCCGGGTCCGATAGCTTACTCACGTCTTGTACATTTAGGAAGTTAAGGGATGTGTTCTTCAATGGCTCCACAGAGAAGTATTCTGGGGTCTTGTACGGGTTAGGTGTCGAAAGTGGACAGGCTAATTGAAAGAAATATAATTGGTTGTAGAGTAACGAGTGTGAGCTTTTTGCTTGTGTACACCCCTGCCAAAAAGTCGTCGTTTTCTTGTAACCTTTCGTCTTTGCTTGATCTGCCACTGAAACCTTGGTGGTTTTGTAGCTTGAGTTCTTTGTAAATCGCTTCAGTTAGTGTTTCAATAATAACTTATGATAATTCCTTAGGATTGCAGCCATTTTTCGTGATCACGCTGTGTGTATCGCGCCTGGTGCTTGGTTTGAGGACTCTGATAATCAAGCTCCGTCATATCATTTTGAGCAAACCTATATTACAAGCTCGCAGAAACAGTGCATGAGTTAGGATTGTATGCTGCATAGACTACGGAAGACAGATATCGGCCATATAAAGAACTGCGTTCTGAGGGAGAAGATCAAAGCATCTCCATGCAGGATACATCATTGCACCCTCCCTATTCACAAATGAATTTAGTTTCATTTGTAGAGAGAATAACAGTTAAAAAAACTGCTCATACAAGGGCATATATCATAACTAGATACGAAACACCTTGCTTGACTTTCTTTCTTGCATAATTAGAAAAACGATTCAGTGTTTTTTGATTCGGTGCTTGCTTGTTAGGTTTAATTTCAATTTTGATATTAAAAAACTATTATCAAGCCACCTCCATTAATTTATGTCAGCCGCAGTTAGTCCTTGATTTAACGATATTAAGAATCTTTTACGCGAATAAATAAAGTGTAAAACTTCATTTTTGAAAATAACACCGATCTGGTATTATGAGATGTGAATAACATGAGATCAAGGGGGTGTTTGGAACATCCTATAATGACTTTTTAGAAGCATTTTTTCATAAATCGAGATAAATTCCTCTACATATTTATTTTGTATATCGTAAAAGCACTTCTGAAACCATAATTTTGTTCTTACTCAAACACCCCGTAAAATTGATACAGATTCCTCCAACTCCAACCACGTGGGAAGGAATGGTGACGTCTTGCAAGCCGCAACGGTGATCCCTACTGTAGTTTCTTTTCTATTTCAAAAAAAAATAACATGTGAATGAAGTTTCCGAGTGTTCCCCCAAAAAAAAAAAATTGAAAAAAGCACTTTGCGGTTTATCGATGGATGTTAATGAATGGAGCCCCTTTCTACTGCACCCCTGGTTTTTCCTTCTGTGATTTATTGTTATATAGTTTCTGTTCAGAAATTAAAAAAATAAAAAGAATCGCAATATGATGCTGTTTTTGCTTTTCAAACTCGACATTGGATCTTTTTGATGTTACTGGCCAGGTAACAAAAACAAAGCGTACTATACGACATTAAAATTCGCCAATCCAATTCAAAAGTTTCATGAATGATGATTTGGCTCAACGAAAATTCTGTCCCAAGATACAGGTCGTGGTAAAAGGTTGTCAAACGTAAGATTATTAATTGATTTGACTAATTTTATGGGCTTCATGAAATTAAATTTGAAAAACGACACCGCGAGATAAAGGACTAGCCATGGAGTTTGGACATGTTTATGTGCCAGTTTGGAGCCATGTTTGAGTGGCTTTTAAGTGACTTTTGGCTTTTTAATATGTTTGAGTGTGTTTGAAAGAGTTTACAAAATTAAGAGCTTATGCTAAAATAACATATTTAAGTCAAAAGCTAAAAATTGTAGCTTATAGAGTTAGAAAAATGAAGAGAGAAAGACAAAGTATGGGTCCTGTTTTTTTACTCAAACAAACTTATTTTTACTCAATTATAATCGAAACAATCTTTTATCAATTTTATTTTTGCAAACTAACTTTTTAAACTCCAATTCAAATACAATTCATCTTATCCAATTTAATTTTTACCTAATCTTACTTTTCTAAAAGTCAGATTAAAAATAACTTGCTTTTTCTACTGCCAATTCAAATGTACCTTATAAGTTAAACTTGCAAAGTGGCTCCTTGGCTGCATACCTATGCTTTGGGACTGTACTTTGCTCCTTTATATAAATATATATATATATGTATATGTATATATATGTATGTATGTATAATATGGTAGTATATTTTTTAAAATATATTTGTTAAATTTTTATTTCATTTTATACTTGTTTTTAAAAGTTTGATTACGCAGTATTTATACACATTTCTTTATTTTTTTTAATTAATTATAAAGTGAATGAAGGATGAGCTTACAAATCCCCAAAAAAAAAAAAATCCAAAGCCGGGAGGAGTCGAATTCCAAGAGATATAACCGATTACATGTAATCCTCATGCATTCCTGTATTTCCGTTGTTTGGTTTGTCCAATGTAATGGCCATTACATAATAGCATCATGATTACCTTAATAATTGTGATAAGAATTACATTAAAAGGCCCACGTAATCCTCATTTCCACATGCTGTAGTCTGCTATTTTCTCATATGCCCTTCACTCTTCTCAAGTTTTCACTATCTTCTTCCTCCTCACCTTAAACCAACTAAACAATCTGGAGTGCCATCCAACACCATGGAACACTTTGTCTAGATCAACCAAGATTAAAAGGTTATTTTTGTCTTTTTTCACTTTAGTAAATACTCCTCCGGTCCTTATTATAAGACCCCATTTGACTTTTTATTTGGTCCTAATTATAAGACCCCAATCCATTTTGTCTCTTATATTTATGCATTTTTTTCCAAGATAATCCTTCTAATAATGATAGTTTTAGCCAATATACTTAATTAGCAAGGATATTTTAGGAATGACAACACTTATTTATTATAAATAACCAACTTAACTTACTTCCTTAATCCCCTCAAATAAGTCAATTGAGTTTTATAATTAGGACCGGAGGAGTATTAAAAAAAGAAGAAGTATATTACACCATTCCTAATATTGTACCAAACAACCTGACAACGTTGTTCCTAACACACCCAACAATATCTCTACTCTGTAGATGCCATTCAAGGATATCTCCTTCCACATCTGCAATCTCCTACTTCCAGTAACATTAATGCCACATCTAATCCAACTATAAAAGTCAACTGAGAACAACTGTTTATATTTCAAGCCTCTTCTATTCACACATGGTCACCTTGTTTATATGCTTTTTCTGATGTGCCTTTGAATACAAACCTAAAGAATGTAAATACTAATCCGAGGATCAGTTTTACAGAACTCACAAATGGACGAGGCGTGCATGTCATGCCTTTTGTGAGTTTCATTTGCCAAAAACTCCCTCCTTCAGTGACCATGCTGGCTAATTAGCCAGACATTATTTATCCATCTCCCTCTCTTCTCCAACTAAGAAAATCCAAGCTAACTCATGAAAGCACGTTCACGCGAGCCCATACAAAATTCTCCCAGCACACATTTTGAACAATCTTATCACTATTCCAAACAATTAGACATATCAGCTTCAATACCAACGTAGATTGTCAAGCTCGTCCCTCCTGATATCTGTATCTGCATTAAGTATCCCATTCATTAGAAGACATTGCAAATATGCTACTTCCTCACTTTTCTCCCAACACACATTTTCCTTAATAAGATAATGCTCTGATAACAGACAATTCAATCTAGCATAATTTTTATATTGTAGTATATTAATAATAACTAATAATTACGTTGTATAAAAATTATATTAAGCTATATTATCCACAAGCGGTCAACAAAAAATATAATTTATTCTGCATTTTACCAAATAATACACAGGTTCCAACTTGTTTTAAACAAAATTGTGTACTTTTTTTCTTTGCTGACTATAGATTTTAATTTATACATGACACCACTATATATATATATATATATGATGATGTGGCCACTAAATTGGTTTTTTGGGGTAAAGTTAGCGTCTGCTTATTTCTTCCCCAACCGCCAATTTTTAATTTGATATTGTCCCTATCCCGGCGCATTCCGGGAACTCTGCCGCCAAGATCCGGCGGCGACTGGCAATTTTCGCACACTGCGGTACGCGCCCACTCTAAATTTTAAGTTTACTTCAGTTTGACGACTAATGCTACTCTAAACAGCTGACCAGCTTTCAAATTTCTGTCTTGGCCTTTCTGATAATGTTGGACGAGTATTCGATAATTTAGGGTTCCTGGCATGGTTGTTAATTGTTAACAATTATAAAGTCTTCTTGCTGACTTCAAATTTTGTTTCCTCTTGCAGATCATGAGCAGTCTGGTCGAGAGGCTTCGAGCAAGAACAGATCGCAAGCCCATCTACAGCATTGATGAATCAGACGATGAAGCTGATATTTTGCCCGGGAAACACGAGCCAACTCAGGAAAAGTTTGAGAGGATAGTCAGAAGTGATGCGGTATATTTATTGGGTCTTTCCTTTTCATTTCAATGCTTTTCATTAAGTCAGATCATTTTAATTTGTTCACTTCTATCTAAAATGTTGTTTATTTAGAAATATTGCAGTGCTTAGTGGGTGACTGAAAATCTACATTAGTTCAGAGAAATACTTTTACTTCCCTATTTCATGTTGTTCATGCACAATAAGATATTCAGCACCACTTGAGATGCCATTGATTAGAGATATGAATCTTGACATTACTTCGATCCTTGAATCATATGGTAGAGGATAACTGGATAAGTCCTCTAAAATTTGTTTGTGGGTCCTTCCCTTGCAACTTGGGATAGAATACTGCTGATGCTAAAGATATAATATCATATATTTTTGCATTGAAATGTAGGCTTTACATGTTAAGAAACTAGATGGAGGATTATTTTTTTTTTTTAATTTTTAAGCACATACTAGGAATATTATTCGTTGTTGCTCATTCAATCATTCCTGCATATTCTTCTAATAGCTTGAGATATTGAGATGAAATGGTTATTGACCGGATATCAGATCCTTCCTAACCAATCGATCAGTAGTTTGATTCTCTCCTATTCCCCTTATTGAATTATTCTTCAGCATTAGATACGGTAAGGCTTAGTCCACACTTTAAGCTGAAAGAACATTTGGGTGAAGCTTACGTGTTAGGGTTGATGATAAAATCATTTATGAGCCTCTTCAATAATTTTGAGGGTGAATCGGCCCTTGTCAGTCCTCATAAAATTTAACAGTTGAAACACATTACCATTTCTTTCATGGAGAAACTTTTGGTGATTTTCATTGCTTATAGTATCTTTTTTTCTTCATTTTGGTGTTCTTGGTTTATATTGTAAATGTAACTTTTCCCACCTTGTTTTGATGTTTATGTCTCATAACTACAGAAAGAAAATAGTTGTCAAGCTTGTGGAGAAAATGGAGATATTTTAAACTGTGAAACATGCAATTATGCCTATCATCCTAGGTGTTTACTTCCACCACTTAGATCTCCTGCTCCAGACAATTGGAGGTGCCCTGAATGTGTAAGCTTATTGCTTGTACCCATACCGGCAGTATGCATAATATCTGTCTACTTTGGTGGAAGCCTAGAATTATGATGCTTGTTTTTGTGCAGGTTAGCCCACTTAATGATATTGATAAGATATTAGACTGTGAGATGCGCCCTACTGTAGCTGATGACAGTGATGCCACAAAACTGGGGTCAAAACAAATTTTTGTCAAACAATATCTTGTTAAGTGGAAGGGGCTATCATATCTCCATTGCACATGGTAAATTTGTTGGACTCATCTCCTTCAAGTCTAAGATAGTGTCTTTGCTTTGGCATTTTGGAAATCTTCTGAAGTCCTCTAATGCCTGCTATATTTTGTGTCCCATTTCGCACTCCCAGTCTATTTATTTTCTTATTACTCCTAGTATGAGTTTAATTATATTTCTATTTTGCTTAAGAAGCCTGATTTTGAAAGGCGTTTTATTTGCTCTGAATCTGTGTATCATTTGGGTACTGTATATTTACTAGTGACAGTTCTTTTTAACTTAGGGTGCCAGAAAAGGAGTTTCTGAAAGCCTTCAAATTACATCCTCGCCTAAAGACGAAAGTAAATAACTTCCATCGTCAAATGTCATCAGTTAATACTTCTGATGAAGACTATGTTGCCATTCGACCTGACTGGACAACTATTGATCGGATTATTGCTTGCAGGTTCAATTTTTTGAAGTTCTATCTTCACTGTTCTGCATATGCAAAATAATATGAGACAGTTCTGTTGTAATTTATGTTTCTTCTCCTCTACTGCAATCAATATTTTTCTTATTTGTCA